CCTATTATATATGGCCATAATCAGGGTTTGGGCGACTGTTTCCCTGTGTTTTTCGCAGGGTATTTCAATGTGCGTTTTGCTGCCTAAACTTTATTTATTTTCAGGACTTTTTCTATGTTTTTGTTCAGCCAGGAGAAATGTAGGCTAAGCGGTGCTCGCTCATTTGGTTGGAGTTTCTTCTCCCTTTTTTTGTATTTTTTTTTGCGCTATACTCTATAAGTAAAGGGGTATATAGATACTCGTAGGAAAAATCTTATTGCTTCTGTATAAATATTTTATCGATTTTACAATTGAATAAAAACAAAATATAAAAACTATAGACATCCATCAATCAATTAATCTGACTTGAACGAAATTCTTGCATTATTTTGCACCTACAGTTTATTTTTGTTTGACTGTGTTGTTTCCAAAATGGAATTACAGCCTCCCAAGAGGGCATTCCATCTTTGGTGCTGGTGCGTTCTCCCTCAATCATTCTGTTATCCAAAGAGCGGCTTAGAGGCCCACATATATATTTGCCTTTTTTATGGCTCCTTCATCATCCTCATCATCATCATCGTCGTCCCAGTCGTTGAGGCGTCCCGTCCCGTTCCCCACATTCGCATTCCTTCTCTTTCCCATTCCCGACTGGCTGCTGCAACATGTTTGCATTTCATTTGTTAGCCAGTTGTCAACGTTTTAGCCATGTTATAATACTTTACCTACTTTTTCTTATCTCTCCTACGTTGACTCGTTTTTCTTCTGTTGCCAAGTGTAAAAGTGCGACTCCCCCATTAAAGTTTTTGATGGGTTCCTTTTTTTTTTTTGTTTCTCAAGAGAAGGCGGCCGTTTGTCATTAGTCAAATGTCGTGTCATGTGAATGTGCTGTGGATGCGCGCGTGCAGCGAATTTATCATTTGTGGGGGAGGCAGCATCTCAGATAAGACGTGGCGTATGCGCAATAAAACAAATTAATACACATATTAATCATACGCAGCGTGGGCCAGCGTCCACGCCACCAAAACCCCAAAGATCAAGAGCTGTGTGGGGGCGACATCAAACGTGGGGTCAGCAGAGCATCATCTCTTTTGCGGATTCATAAGCCAAATGATGCCCTACGGTGGCGCTGAAACTATGAAATGGAAATTGGCGTCGTAAATGGGTTTTTGTGCCCCCCCCCCCTACACAACCGACTTGCTGGGGTTGCACGCATATTGGTTGCGGGCTGGCCAGTCTGGCCACCGGTGGTCATAAAAATGAACTCTAACTTGTTGCGTGTCCTGAAACGCTGAAAGCTTGAAATTGGTTTCGGTTTTTCATGTTTCATGGATGCGGGTGAATGGGGGGCGCATCCCCGTTGCTCACTCATGCGTCGTGAGAGAGTGGGTGGCAGCGAGAGAGCGAGCCTGTTACTGCGGAGAGCACTTAATGCTTTTGAGTGAAACTTTGAGTGAGAGCACCGCGTGTATGGTTTGTTCACGTGGCTGCCACAATATATTTCCTCTTCTGTGGCGGTCCTCTTCCCTGGAGTTGAAAGTGGCGCGGAATAGTTTGTTCTTATAGTTTCGTAGTCAGATATAAAATGAAGTAAGACGATGCCCTAAAGTGAAAGGACTTTGTGCAAAATGGCCATCAGAGGGAATTTGAAGTGAACGCGTTCCTTTGGTCGTGCAGCGAAACTGTTTGAGGGATTAAGGTTGCCATAGATACGTGGAAGATAAAGATAAAGCTGTTTGTGGCAGCTGCATTCAAGGATGGATTTGCCCTTTGATAAAGGGTGTAATGTTGCATGAAACCTTACTCTCGGATGACATTTAATTATCGTGAGTGCTGAATTCTACGAATATTTGGTGATGAAAAATAAAATTCGTAGAATGTGACTCCATTAATAGATCTCGAAATTGAAGATAATTGATATGTGCGCCCCAGGAATGGCGTGGTAGTACGCCATGGACAAAGGTTTAATGAAATATGTGAAAAAATGTTGACTACAAAGCGATGCACCTGTCAGTGGAGATGTGTGTGCAGCCAAAGCTTCAGGTGCACTTTGACTGGGCAAGAGAAATAGCTGAGAAAAATAATTAAATTTGTAGAATCAAAGAAAACTGGTTGAGAGATGCCGCTGAAAGTATGAAACAGCTTTGAAACTATTGAAGCTCGTTTCTCATTATATTTTGTTAATCTATTTTTGAGAGTTAGCTATATATATTCCATGCTATATTCAACCAACCATTTATCCTTAAAGTTTTACCACGTGAAAGGACTGAAAGCGAGCACCTCAATTTACCATGTGGCAATAACTCAACTAATTCTGTTTGTGGGTTTTATACATTTTTTTTCTTGCCTTCTTGCAGTGCTAATTAAATTTGTAGCTTTACTTATTGTTGTGGCCATGCACGCGCTCAACCACATACTCCCACACACACACACACACACACTCACACAGAAACCAGTACATACACATTGGGTGTATTACTTTTTTTATACCATGCCATATCCCAAACCCCTTTAAGCGCCATTCCTTTGGCGCCTCTGCCAACTTAATTGCATTTTTTTTCAAGTTTGCGATGCGCGCAACTTTTTGCAACGTCCCTCGGCTCCTTCCCGCAAGCTCTGGCTTTATATTGATAAAGGCTGCCACGCCCACTAAACGCACCAGAGGGGGGGTGAGCTTTTGACTCTGACTATCAATTATGTTATGGGCAAAGCGTGCTTATTAAATAATTTTTGCATTAATTTTAATGTTCGTGCATATTTAATTGAAAATGAATCATTTAAACTATGCTTTCCCTTTACCTTCCCTTCACTACATATATATATATATTGCACATATATGCTTTCATGCCACCGATTTTATAGCTATTGGAATGTTTAAAAATATTTGCTTTAGTTGAAGGTACATATATTTTCCGCATTTCAATTATGAAATCGTGCATTCGGAAATGGAAATGAGCTCGCAAAATATTTTGCGGTATATAGGTATAGTAGATATATGTACGTACTTTGTAAACAGTTTTTTCCCCTATTTTTCCCCAACAGTTTTCCACCGATAAATTGTATTCTAAAAATTTATTTTAGATAACATTTTCTATTGGTTTTCTGGTGGTTCTGTGTTGTTTGTTTTGCGGCGGTGTTTTTAAGCCACCATAAATTTAATTTTTGCCTAATTAATTTTTGTGCAAACTTTTCGCTTTTCAGTGAATATTTAAAAACTTTTTCATGGAAAATTTATGCTTTGGTGAAATTGTTGACCAATTAACGTGTTTGCTGCCAAGAGAGTGTGAACAACATTGTTTTGGTTCATTTTAATGAGCCCTATTTAATCATATTAAATATGTAGCAAATTATGGTCTCTGCATGTTGTGCATCAACATTTGATAAGTGTTTGGTGAATCTAATTAATTTAATTGCAAATTCATGAAGTTGTAAATATTTGAAATGATTTTGTCAATAGCTTGTGACAATTAGCTAAATTTGTTTTTTTTGTGCTTTGGCAAATGGTTTTGAAAGTATTTTAATGCAGAAACAAACGGATTTCCTACGCAAGAAAATGGATAAATATTTATCTAAATTAATTAAAATTTTAGTATTCAAATCTCATTGTTAGATGCACAGATTTCCAGGGGGCTTTCTGGACACTATGATATTCTAAAAAAATAATACAAAATACAAATAATACAATTATTTTAGGAGGAAATGCATGCAAAATAAAGTCTATGAAATATTAATAAAATGTAGCCCCAATTAAATGATTCTCGCAGCACCTTTTATACATTGGCCCCCAAAAGTAAACTACACCAAAATATTGACGTAAAATTCCGATAAATATTGTCATTATTGTCATGACTGAACACTTGTGGTATGATACGCTACAGCTTAGACAGAAACTGCCATAAGCCGAGCATTCCAAAATATTTAAGTAGTGTAAATTGAATAGAAAATAACTTCCGTACCGCCATGCTCTATGCATTATTCATATGCCTCTTGGCCGCAAGGACAACAATTTTGGGTCGTGTCTGGCCGGACATTCACACACACACACACACACACACACACACACACACACACACACACACACACACACAGATATAGAGAGGGAGATTGCTCATACGCCAGGTTGGCCGCATAAAATATTGAAATTGTTGACCGAAACGCAATTTACGCATACATATTGCATATTGACCAATCTGAGTGTGTGTTTGGCAGACATCGAGAAGCAGAGTGAGAGAGAGATTGTTGAATGGATTTTGCATTTGCATATTGTGTAGATTTAGCTGATTTTACTAATATTATTTCTAGTCTGTGATTTTATTTGATTTTCGTTGTGCAAAATGCATTTGCAAGTAAAGCGAAATGCATATAAATTAAGGGCTTACGGTTTTATGCCCATTCATTTATTAACTGGCTTAAATTTCACTTTGATTTGATATTTTTTTGTTTGATAAATGGCTTTATAATTGGGTCACACACAGAAAATCCCTCAGAATAATTGTATTGTTGTTGTTGCTGTTTAAAAGTAATTGCATCATAGAATATTATTTACTCGTTCATTCAGATGAGATGAGTTTAGTTTATGAAGGAAATTCAATTTAAAATATTGTATTTTTATATCGTTTTAAAGTTTGTGGGCAAATATTTACTGCTGCTGCTGCTGTGCTTTCATGTGAACGCCTTTCGATATATGTATATATTTATATATATATATATATTAACCTCTTTCAACTTTTGGTTTAACAACAACAAGGAGAGGAAATTGCCATCTGTTGTGCATTTCGTTCAAGACAAACAATTGCCAGGGCAACAGGCGGCCAGACTGCCCACTCCTTGTCTACTTGCATTTATGATTTGCTTTTAATTAAAATAAATATTTTATGGCTTTCAATAAACAATTACCAAAAAGGGTGGGGTGGTGGAATACAAACTTTTCGACTGGAAACTTGAGTTGGAAAAGTTGATAGAAAGTGAAAAACTCCCGTAGTTCAACAATATTCTTTATGCTTTTTTTTCTTTCTTCATTGCAGGTGGAAATTCAACAGGTGTAAATAATTGAGGGCAAAAACTTGGCCTTTATGACTGTTGCCTGTTTTCTGCTGGCAAACCCCTTGAAGCGTGTACGTGTGTGTGTGTCTTAATTTGATCAAAAAAAAAAATCCAGCAAGAGGACACACAACGGCAATATGTCCTTGCCTTGCAGCAGCAATCACAACAATTTGCAACAGTTGTTGTCGCAACACAATATAAATTTGCATTTGTTTATTAACTTGAACGACAACAATCTAGATTAAAGCCAATCAAAAGAGACTCTACAAAAGTTATAGGACTCAAAATCGACTCACAGGTAAACTATGGCAGCCACAGCAACTGTCAGCAGTCACGTGGAGGCGAACGATGGCAAAGTGGATTTGGTTTGTGACGAGTGCGATTATTATGGCTCGACAGCCACAATACTCATTGATAGCAGCACTCAAACGGATGGCGATGATGGATCGGAGGATGAGGATGATGAATCGGAGGTCAAACCAGTGAAGACAAAATTAGCTCAAATTGTGGAGGAAGCTGAGGCGGAGGCGGAGACGGAGTCGGAAGCGGAGGCAACAGCCACGCCAGCAACCAATGGTATACGAAATAATAGTGCTATTGAGAACCATACAAATATCGATATTATGCACAGCGATAACAGTATCGATAACAATATAGAATGTATACGAAACGATAACAATATTGATAGTAACATCGATGGCATAGATACCGATAACAACATCGATATTTTAAGACAACAACAGGACATCGTTGGTGATGGACAAGATTTGGTGGATCGAAATATTGATTCTGTGGAGGGACACATTCCGAATGCCACTGATCAGCACGAAGACGATGTAGAATCTGAAGAAGAAGTGGAAGTGGAACCAGAACAGGTAGAGGATGACGTACGGGAAGAAGAGCCAGAGGAGGAGCAGCAGGCAGTGGAACAAGAGCAGGAACAGGAGCAGACGGAGCAAGATCAGATCGATAATGTGGCCCGTTTTACAGGACTTGCTCTAGAGATGGGCTATGCGCGCATTATAGACTACGATAACTTTCGCATCATCGAACATGTCATCGAAAGCGATGATGATGATGGGGATGCTGATGGGGGTGCTGCCCAAGGACCGGCAGCAAGTACATCGCAAGAACTGCAGCAGGCCTGTCACGATTTGGTGACTTTCATCGGTGAAAGTTATCAGGTAATCGATAGGTCGGGCAACCTCACCCATTACCAAACGCCAGCAAGCATTGCGATAGTCGATAACAACAACAATAATCGAAGTAACGATAATCGGGTGCCGGCCACATGTCGTAAAGAACCGAATGGAATGGATATACCGGAGCAACTAAATCAAAATCCCTCCACAAGCAACACAGCCGCTGTGGCAGCAGTGGGAGCAGCAGCATTGTCGGGTGTACCTGCAACATCCACAAGCAGTGCACTGATTAAGGCATATAAATCGAATCTGACACCATTGGCGCCACCCTTTCAGCCAGCCGCCCTGAAGGCCAAACAACAGTTGCAACAGTCAGTGGCAGTGGGCTTAAGCAGCGGTAGCAGCACCAGCACCACCACTACCACCAGCAACATGTCACTTACAACGACAACCACATCGCAAAGCAGCACCGGTACCGGCACCGGCACCAGCAGCAGCACACTCTATGCTGCTTATGAACAGACAACGGTCTACTATCAGCAGCAAATGCTGCAGCCACCGCAGCAGCAGCAGCACATTCAGCTCCCACTCTTGCAACAGCAACAGTTGTCCCCCAAGCAGCAGCAACAGCAACAACAACAACACTGTGCTCAACATGGCGGCATGCCACACATTCATTTGCCAGCGGGTACGGGAAATGGCGCCCAATTGCTGCCCGTGCAATTGATTACCTTGACGCCAACAGCAGGAGGCGCTGCTGCCGTGGCAGCTGCAACAGCAGCAACAGTAGGAGCTGCCGCCCCCACAGCTGTGACAGTGGCTGGGGCAGCAGTGGCAGCACCGACAGCGGCAACATCTTTGACTGGCGCCGCTTGGCCACTTGTGGAGGCGCCAATTTACATAGACATCAATGGGGAATATCGTAGCTATTGCCCGGCACATGGACCACCAGCAGGGACAGGGCCAAATGGCGCCATATCCCATCACCATCATCATGCCCATGCCCATGCCCATCCACACGCACATCATCCCCATCCACATGCCCATGCCCATCATCCCCATCCCCATCTGGCACAGCAGCAGCAGCAACAGCAACATCTTCATCATCAGCAACAACAGCAGCAGCAGCAGCAACAACAGCAGCAGCAGCAGCTTCATCATCATCAGCAGCAGCAACATGGGCAACATCAGCAACATTCGGCGGCAGTGGCTGCTGTGACAAATGCAGCAGCAGCAGCCGCCGCAGCAGCCTCAGCTCCTCGTTTGTTGGTGCAACTGGACGTTGCAAGTGTCCAGCAACAGCAGCAGCAACAACAACAACAACAACAGCAGCAGCAACAGCAGCAACAAATCGTTGCCGCTGGCAAACGCAGCAAAGTTTATCGAGGTGAGTGGCCGTTTTATGACATTTGTTGTACAGTTTTTCTACGTTCATGCTGCCCATGCCCTAGGGCTATTTGGAGTCCATATATCCCACATATACCAGTATATATATATATATATGTAGTTTGTCCAGCCTGCAAAAGCCTGACACGATCCCCAAGTCTCTCTTCCCTTAAAACTTTAGCCATTACTTTATGCTTTGATTCATGAGAGATAGTCGAAGGGACGACGCCTCCTTCTACTCCCCTCCTCTCTGCATTTTGCGGTTGGGGTTTTGGGTACGGCCAAACCGGACCGGACCCATTACCAACTCTCGTAGCCTCTCCCTACCATGTCCATGCATCCTGGGCATTCCCATTCAGGGGTTTAATCAGTTAAGCAAAGCCAACAGAGTTGGCCTGCACTGGCCTCTCTCTCTCTCTCTCGCCCTGTCCTGGCCCGGTCAGGGGTTAAAATTAATTTCACAGCCGTTGGGCGTTTTGGGGGCTGTGCCACTGTGGCACTGTGGTGTTCATTGTGGCGCTCCTTTTGTGTGTGATTGTTTGCACTTTAGGGGGCGACCGACCTGGCTTGAGCAGCTACATGGGAGCTCTGGAGCAAAAGCCATGAGTAAGTTCTTCGGTTTGTTTGTTTGGTTTATTTGCCAAATAATCTGTTTGTTTGGCTATGCAATAAGTAGTTTTGGGGGCAGCCCCCAGGTTGACATAGGCAGGTTGCACTGTATTCTGTTGCGTATGTGTGTGTGTTGTCTTGCCATCAGAGGATTAAACACAAAGAGTCAAAGGTGGACTTGCAAATTGAGAGGTAATTGCCTTGGGGTTGGAACCCCAGAGCAGAAGATACCTGGGGATATACCTAAGGGCGTTACTTGGGGACATCCAAAAGAAAATTGAAGTCGAAAGGGGAAGTAAAACTATTAAAATTTTAACGTTGATATCAAACAACAGGGCGGGAAGCAGAGGTATACGATTTATAGACTAGTTTGAGTAAATTATGAGAAATAGAGTAAAAAATTTAAGGAAAAAAATGTGAAAATATCCCTACCGATAGAGGATAAGGATACGCTGCAACATAATATTAAAGCGTCTGAAAATGTTGAGCTTTCTGTCATAGATAACCTCTTTTTAGCTGCTTCCTTTCACCACTGGCCATTAACAACTCCTAAAAACCTTTCTGCGCCCCAAACAGTATCAGTTCTGCAAATCGCATATCAGAGTTCGTTTTCCTTCCATTTTTTTTAATCGCTGGCTATCAACTGACTGCCACACAGACACGTCAACTGGCTGCCTGGCTGCCTGTCTGCCTGCCTCCAGTGATAGCACCACCTCTCTCCCTCTCTCCCTCCATCTCTCTCTCTCTCTATTGTCTTTATCCCACAGTGTCATCTAAACCGTTTCACTTTTGCCATTTTCCGCTGTGAATGAAACCAGGAATTGTTTCAATTTGCATCGAGTTCTTGGGTTTCAACCTGAACAAGGTATAGATTCCCATTCCCCCCACCCCCCGCCCGATACGGCGACTCTGTTTTAATTGTATATGTGCATCTCTTTCTCGGATCAATCCGTAGCGCATATGGAAGTCATCCAAACAGTGTGGCGAAACTCCCAGGCAATTGCCTGTGCGCCAACTTGACCATATCCAGCTGTGTGTATGAGTGTGTGTGTGTGTGGCATGGCTGTGTGTGTATGCAGATGACACTGTGTCACCAGAGTCTCCTATCGCTCCTGGATGCCACGACACTCCACGCCAAGCCAAGCCACGCCACGCCAGGCCACTCCTCTCTCCTACCTCTATTCCATTGCCAAAAGAGCCACGTCCTCCTTTCTGGCCATTTTGTAGGTCTTTCTTTTTTTGTTACTGGTCCGCCACACGCTGTGGTCTTATGGACTCCTCGCTGTCGTTTTGTTGCGCCCCATGCAACTCTTTCTCTCTCTCATGCTCCACCCCCTTTTCGCCCTTTCTCACGCACACACCGCATTTTCCCCACAGAGAGAATGGTTTGTCCATTTCCCAATCCCCCCAACCCCTTTATTGTGCCGGTTTTTCGCCAATTTTCACTTACACATACGAGTTTTACAGTTTTTAACAATTTTTTTAGTTGCCGTTGCCACCCCAAGGCTTTTTGCCAAAAAACATTTTTTTTATCTCTGTTTAGCCATCTAGTACCCCTCTATACATCTTTTGTCTTTCTCCTTCTGTTTGTGTCTTTTTCGCTGCTGTATTTCATTTGCCTTTTACTGTACATTGTCGCCATTTTGCAGATTTCTTTTCAGGGATGTTCCAAGAAAAAAACAGAAGCGATTTCTGAAAGAATTTCAATTTTTCAATTTGGTAGCAGCTAAGAAAAAATGTGTGTTATGCTTTAAAAAATATGGGAGTCTCAAGAAACGATGTAAACAGAGCAATAAAGAAAACATACAGATAATCCTTTAGAAAATTCCCAGAAATTCCAAGGAAGAAATTCCGAGAAGGAACGTGTGAGTCGCTTCTGTAGTCGCGACTCTACTTTATACCCGTACTCAGTCAGTCTATAAATTTGTGAGCTTATGATTTATGTAAAATCTTAAAATAATTTAACATTTTAAAATTTTTTTGCTACATCTGCTCTCTACATCTACATACATCTACAATGTTTATTCTACATGTACCATTTAGATTCTACATCTTCTCTGCAAATGGTCGCGCACTGCATAGGGCATGTGATATCACATGAGTCTGGAAGCAAAATTCGGTTGCTCTAGCTCTTATAGTCTCTGAGATCTAGGCGCTCATCAAGACGGACGGCCGTACGGAGATGCTGATCGAGAATATATACTTTATGGGGTCGGAAACGATTCCTTCTCTGCGTTGCACACATCCACTTTTACCACAAATCTAATATACCCCTTAACTCTTTTTTCGTACGGGTATAAAAAGACCGAAAAGACATTCTACTTTGACTTGGTCGCATTTCCATGGGAGAAATGGTATTTTGGAACCTGGCAATCAGTTTGGTTTGTTAGTTTATCTTGTGTGTTCGTGCAAAGTGCGTAGCATGTGGCATGCATCATTCGCCTCTGTTGTCTGTACCCGTTTTGCCTCAGTCAGTCGCCTGTCGCCTGTCGCCTGTCGCCATCGTGCATCCACATCCACACGTCCATGTCCATGTCCATGTACCACGTCCACATCCACGTCCACTTCGATGTCCCCATGTCCAGTGTCAATTTTTACCATCTCCATTGGCTTTTGGCCGGCAGTTGAGAGAATTCCTTTTCCATTTTCCATTTTTAAAATTCCGTTTTTTTTTTTTTTTTTTTTTTTTTTTTTTTTGGGCTAAAGCCAGTGCAGGATCAGCCGCCTGTTGTCATAATTTTAGCACTCACTGTGCGTGCTTTATACCCTTTTGTAGAGAGGGTAAGCGGATTTTGAGCAGGTGTCTGGCAATGAGGAGAAGAAGGACAGGTACATTGCTGTGGAAAGTATTTATTTTGGATATAATTTGGAAGCAAGGAAGTTCCTTCCTTGGATAGTTTCTCATTCGGAAACGATTATATTGTATTATTACTTTTTAATATGACAAACAAATTTTTGTAAGGCATTTAAAGGATATAATACCCTCAATGCTCAGCTTCCTTGCTTCCAACCAATTTTTGTGTTGCAGCTTCAGCGCTGACTGGAAATGCGTTTTCTGCTTTTTGAATGGTGGGGTTCCCCCCTCTCGCTCTCTCTCTCTTTCGCTCTTTTAATGTAATTTTCTCTGTTTTTTTTATTTGTCGTTGTTTATTTGGCTGGTTGTAATTTATTTGAGGCTCGTTGTTGCCGCGGGAATTGTTGGTAGACGGCATCCCATTGGTTTATGGCTTGTAAGTTGTTTATTATTAATGTTTGGCTTATGCTGGCAGGCAGTTGTCGCTCGCTTGCTCGTTGGTTGGTTGGTTGGTTGGGCCTCCGGTTCACAATTTTTGCTTGGGGTATGGCGTTTGGGGTTTGGGTGTATGCTCTTGCTGCACTTTACGGGCATGAGCTCATAATGAAGTCATAGTTATCTGCCTCACCCTGTCACTGCTTGCTGCCACTGCCACTGCCACTGCCACTGCCACTGCCGCTGCCACCGCCACAGACTTTGACTCTATTTTGTGCCTTGGCCTCTCCCATTTTTACCATATTTGTTGGCCATAAAATATACGCGTATGCGTCATATTGCGACAATGGTATGTCTCGCCGTCTCTGTCCCTCTCCCGCGGCTTAGCGATTCTCTCTGCTTTTCCGCTTTTCCAGCTTCCAAAAATACCCGCTCCGCTCCCAATTTGCTATTTCTGCTGCATGTTCTTGTGTGCATTAGCAGCACTTATATAATGCATTGCGTGGCATTAGTCATGGGCTGTCTACTGCGATATGTGTCTACATATCTGTCTGCAAGGCAAGTAGGTGGTCCTCTCTCTCTCTCTCTCTCTGTCTCTCTGTCTTAAATACCCATTCCTCATGTTTGCATTTGGGGTTTGTCGATTTAACTCTCTCGAGACATGTCGAAATTGAGGAAAGTTCTGCATTTTTCAACGAAGAAGAGATTATTCTCTGGGTATCTGTGCACCACTCTCTGGGCAAATTATATTCACTTATATTCCTTATATATACCTACATGCCCAAAATCCATTTAGATCCGCTTAGCATTCATAGAGAATCACACACAATAACCTCAAGGATGTGGGTTTGCTTCTGGCAATCAGGTAATCACATAAACATAGATAAGTATTTCGTCCTGAATTTCGAATATAAATAAAAATAAATATGAATATAAATATCAATATTAAAGTTGACCATCAGATATACAGATTACGTATTTAAGTAAATATCTTTGAATTTTGCGTAGAAATAAATTCAGAAAGTATTTTAGTTTAAATTTATGGCATATTTTCTTTTGTATTAATTGATTTAGAAACCTTTTAGCAATGAATACCCAGCTTCATATTTGCCATAAAAGTTTCCCCAAGAATCGCTTAGATAAATATTAGTTTCCCAACTATC